ATCTGTGCAGGGCTCTCAGAGCGACGTCGAGTTCCGAGGGATCCTGCGTAATATAGCAAAAAATGACCCATTATAACTGACAACCACGTGCCATCGACTCCTCCGGGCGCTACGTACCTTCGAGCCAGGAGTATGGTATTCGGTGATTATCTCGAACAGCACGTCAAGCACATCGAGGATGCGAGATGGATGGATTTTTGGGGTGGGTTCGAATAAACTGTCATTCTGACTAAAAATGTGAAGTCTTTCCGTCGGAGATTTGGTTTGCCGCAATGAGGCGACAAATCTTCCGGCTTGGGGCGGCATCGATGATAGGGACCTAGTAGCGGTGAGCGTCGAGCGGAACTTTGTGTTGAGGTGGCTGGCAAACTTACGTATACGCGGCCACCAGTTAAGCGGCAAAAGAGTACGACACGAGTAGGATTTGAACCTACGCACGGAAACCGTATCAGATTGTCCTCGTCAATAATTCTAATCTGACGCCTTAACCGCTCGGCCATCGTGTCCCCATGTGATAATAGAGGTTAACATAATCCTAGTGGCGTTAGTGTTCGGATGGCTCTCCCGCTTAATACATTGGTTCTGTCTAACTCCCCAAACCGATGAAGAGTACTCTATATAACTGAAGTTAACCTCAAGATTGGATAAAGACGCTCGGAGAAACCTTGGGACTCAACTTGGTCGATCCTCGAGCGGAGTCAAGCGCCCAGGGGCGTGAGATCGCGCCTCTGTCGAGCAAGTCCAAATTTCAACCATGGCTACCGCACACTGGACCAAGCCGGCAACCCGGACACCTATCATCGACAAGCTCGTGGAGGGTGTAGGTGCGCTTCGTCTTGATCCTCCATACGACGCTCTCTCGTGCTGAACGGACCCCATCATCCGCTCCCGGTCTAGATCGCTATAACCCTCAAAATGTCGAGATCCTCGAAGACTACCTGTACCAACAGATGAGGCAAGGCGAATACGACTGCCTTGCCAACTTGGCAATCCTAAAACTGTACGGGCTCTGATTCTCTCCTTGTTTGGGGGAAGGTCTGACTGGGCGTCGAATTGTTGGGGCGGGGGTTTTCGTTTCATGCCAGGTACCAATTTAACCCTGAACTGTATAATGGGGACGTCGTGGTCAACATCCTCGTCAAGGCGCTCACCGCAACGCCTGCAGCAGACTTTAACCTCTGCCTCGCATTACTATGCGAACGACCTGTAAGCATACTCTCCTCGCGCCCTTCCTTCGCCCGTCTCTGCCGCTAAACCCTGCCGCCCCCTCGGCACAGATCGAAGCCCAGCCCGAAGAGGGCGACCCATTCTCAAGCTTCCTCCCACAACTCCAATTCTTCTACCAACTCCTCCGAACATGCAAGTTCCCTTTATTCTGGGAGGTCTACCGGTCCGCGGACTCGAGCAGCCTGCGCGAAACGTACATCGCCGAGGTCTACGGGTTTGAAGACACGATAAGGGAGAGCGTCATCGCCAAGATCGTTTCGAGCACGTTCACGAGGATAAGTAAAGAGCGGTTGGAGAC